GGGCGGGGGGGGGAACGTTTGGGCCACAAGAGTTTGCCGCAGTGCTTCCTGTTCCTCCTCGAGCTGACACACGGCGCCGCGGAGAGTCAGCAAGCTGACAGGTCGCAGTCCAAGTGCAGCGGGCTTGGGGGTGAATCAGCGTGGCCTGCGGCGTGCTGGTGGAGTGTTCGGTGGGAAGGATTTGTCCTCCGTGCCAGCCCCCTCCAGATCTTCGGGTAACCAGGAACATATCTTCGCCGCAGCAAATTCAGGCGCAACGCCTCGCGAACAAGCGGGGAAGTACATGCCACGTGCAAGACAACCGGCACGCGATGGCACAGCTTTTTCGCAGCGGGCGCGTCAGTCGCGCCCTTTGCGCCACCGACAGGTCTGCGGTGCGGTGCCAGAGAGCGGCACCGCTTGCCCCGCTCCCAATTTTACCTGGCTTCCAATTTTACTCAGGGGCTCCAGAAAGCTGCCGAGAGCCTTTGAATGGTCTTGAACGCATCAAAAAGCACATCCCACACTCCTCCCTCCCCGAGCCGGCCCAAAGACTCGCAAGACGGATCGCAGCATGGGCCCAGAGCTTCTCCAGGAACATCCGAGCGTTGTTTTCGGACCAATCTCTGGGAACATCTACATCGATGTCCGGAAGCTCCTTCGTGAACATCTGAGCCGATGATCCGGATCACGCGTTCAGCAGGAGAAGGAAGTGAGGTGTCGAAGACGACGAGCAGGACGACGACTTCCCCCGACGGTCCCCAGAGGTCTCAGGTTATCTCCCGAGGTCTAGCCCTGGGGGCCACGGAAGGGCCAACAGCGCCCCAAAACCGTGCAAGAAATGCAGCATCGACGAGGACGACGACGCAGGCCGCGGCTGCAGCGGCGGCGGCGGCCAGGGCCCGCGCGCTGGCCGAGTGATGGCGGGAGCCCCCTGCCCTGGAAAGCCGCGGCGACGAAGCCGGCCCCGTGAGCCCCAAGAAGGCCCGACGTAGTTGGCACGCCTCGGTCTTCGACCCTCGATCCTTCATTCTCAGGAGGAAAAGAAACACACAGACACAATGAATCGTCGACTCCCCAGAAAATATGGGAAAATATGGGAAGTGGGGGGGAAGACAAAAACCCAGAACATATGGGAAAATATGGGGGATCTTTTTATTTGTGTGTATTTATTTGTGTGTCCCAGGGCCCCTTCACATTCTCCTCCTCGGTCCTCGACGATTGCGACGGCTTTGGCGACGGCGACGACGACGACCGCGACCGCAACCACGACAGCCTCCGAAGGTCTGACGACGACAGTCACGTGATTTGCGCAGGGTGGGGAACATCCGAATCCTTCCAACGCGTCGCATCTCGATCTCGCACGGCCCCGCGACCGCCCACAAATCCCGAATGTAGCCCCCAGGGGGACGTTTCCGTTGTTATTATGGTCTTTGTGGCCTACTGACAATGAGTGCGCAGTCTGATATAACCTGCGCGCGCAAATCGTTCTGGTTCTGGCTCCTATACATATATGGAGAGAACGAGAGAGAGAGAGAGGGAGAGAGAGAGAGAGAAATAAAGAAAGAGAGAAAGAGAGAGAGAGAGAAAGACAGAAAGAGAGAGCGATAGAGAGAGAGGGAGACAGTGCATAGCCGAGTTCATAATAATGACGTGTATATACAATATATCTATACACACATACTTATACAAAAATGTATGTGTATACACATATAGATGTGTTTAAGTACGCATACCTGAGTCGGCGGTCGGGTGGGACCAGATCGGCGCCGAAGTGCTTCGTAAGGGGCCACATGGGCTTCGACCCGCCGAAAACAACCTTCACTGGGAAGGCCCCGAAACGCCTCCAGCCCGCCCGCCATTATTGTTTCGGGACGGCACACGGGGCTCCCCAAACACCCCATGAGGGTTTCCAACTTCTTTCCGAGAGAACGCCACTGGGAAGACACCGACGTTGTTTTGATGTGTTTTCTAACATTTTCTGGTCGTCGCCTGCTCCGATTCCCGACGCCTGGAGACGGCGCAAGCGCCCAAGTGTGCCCCAACACACCCCAAGAGGGCGCCCACATGGCCTAAGAGGTTCCACCTCGGTCTCCCCGTTGGAGCTTGCGTACGCCTAAAGGGCTTCAAGGAGGCCCACAAAAACGTTGCAACGGCCCCAAAACGCACACCACTGCTTCGAGACGGCTCACAAGGTTTTCAAAGCTCCCCCAGAGGGCTCCAAAGTGCTCGCCGAGAAAACCCCAATTCGCAATCAACGTCGGTTGTTTTTCGGACTGTCACGGATCTAGCCGTCGTCGCCTACCTTGTTTCCCGAAGCCGAGGCGGCACACGAATCTTCCAAGGGAGCCCCAACACACTTTACGAGGGCGCCAGATCGGCCCAAAAGGCGCCCCAAATGATTCGACACGCCCACATATTACCCGACGAACGAGTCCGGGCACGCCAAAAAACGGGTTGGCTGATAGGCCGCCGAGGAACCCTAAAACAGCCTCCCACATGAGCCTCGACACCCTGAAAAAGGCCCTGCGGAGGCTTTCACGAGGGCCCCAACACGGCCGCAAACAGGTTCCCAGAGAGCTTTCAGGGAGCGTGATTGTCGCCGCCAGTCCTCGGAGGAGATGGTTTTCAATTATTTTTCCCGTTGTCGTCCGCTCCGCTGGCCGACGCCCCGACCTCCAACATTACCCCAAGAGAGCGCCACGACGGCCCAAGAGGCGCCCAAGCTGGCGTAAGAGTCCCCAAGACGGCCCCACAGGCGGCCGAGGACCCCCAGGACGAATCCCCAAATGGGCCTCGACACCCCGAACGTGCCTTTCAGAAACTTCCACGAGGGCTTTACTACGGCCGCAATCACCATGTTCCCGGAGATCCTTACGGGAAAGTGATTGAGCCGCCCGTCTGAGTAGGAGGAGGAGGAGGAGGACGAGGACCAGTGTAAACCCAAGAGGCACCAACGATGTTGGAATACACTCTCCCTCCAATCTCCCTTTTCATAGGCCCCTACAACGGGCCATTTTTACTGCGGGAACTGCCTTGGTGGAAAACAACTGTTTGAAGACCCTGGAGCATGCCAAAGCATTGTCCTCGGGATTCCAACGCCGTGGATCCACCTGACTGCTGCGTTTTGACGACCCCGAATCGTGTCAGCACGCCATTACTGGGACGTGAACGCCGCGAATCAACATAACTGGTGCACCCTCATAAGCATGAGTTGTTCCAAAACCTCATGCCTGGTACGTTGATAGTGGGAGGAGGTGGAGGAGGACGAGGCAGGCGAGGCAGACATAATGAGGAGGACTTGGACGAGGATAGGAACGCAAACCCTACTCAGCCGTTGTTGCCTCGTTCATTCTGCCGACGTTGACCCCCACAAGGTCACGAGGCCTCCAAGAGGGCCCCAACACGGCTATAACTACATGTTCCCAGAAGGCCTTCCATGGCCGCAATTTGGAGGAGGCGGTGGAGGAGGAGGAGGAAGAGAAGGACGAGGAGGGGGAGGAGGGGTGCGGAGGCAGAGGAGGATGAGGATAGCGAGGGGAAGGAGGGATAAGAGGGGTAAAACAAATATGAGGAAGCAAGAGGAGGAAACCCTACTCATCCGCTGATCCAGCGCTCGCTCCCTTTTCCCGTTCCCTTCAATGTGCGTCTCTTGCTTATGTGTTTCCCTTTTTTCCTTACCTCCCTCCCTCTCCTCTCCTTTTCTCTCTCCTTGCCTCCCCCCTGTCCGCGACCACGATGACCACGACGACACCGTCGAGACCGACGGCCTCATTCTTGCGTTTGTGGCCTCGGCGAGGGTAAGAACGATGAAGACTTCCCCACCATTCATGAAGCTGAAGTTTAAACGCTGACAGCGAGTTCACAGACGGAGGGCGGGTCTTTTTCAAAGTGTCGCTCTCGCCTTAGCGCCGCGCACATTCGTTTTAACAGTTCGCAGGAGTTCTGCATATGGAAGGCGGTTCCTTTTCAAAATGTGGCTCTCGCCTTAGCGCCGCGCACAGTCGTTTTGCAAGTTTGCGAGAGCTTCACGGATTGAAGGCTGTTTCTTTTTCAACATGTGGTTTTCGCCTTGGTGCCGAGCGCATTTTTTAATCCAAACACATGCATTAAGACAACGTGCAAGAGCTTCACATATTCCGATGATCAGCGAACCAGAACCAGTGCGTTGGAAGGGTTCAGAAATTTGAGGGTGCAACAGGCAAATTGGCTCACAGTGTTCATTTCCCAGGGGAGTTGTTTTGGCACGATCCAGGACCGTCAAGACGCGGCAGTCAGTTTGATCTGTATCGTTGAAATCTCGAGAACATGTCTTGTCTGTTTCAGATTTTTCAAACGGTTGTCTTCCAATGAGGAAGTTCCCACCCAGAGAAAATGAAGCGTCAGTGGGAAACATGAGGCTTGGAGGGGGGTTTATTCCAACATCGTTGATGACTCTTCCCTCCTCCTCGTCCTCCTTCTCGTCCTCCTCCTCCTCCACTTCCTCCTCCTCCCCCTGCGCCTCCTCCTCCTCCTGCGCCTCTCCCACCTCCTCCTGATCCTCCTCCGCCTCCTCCTCCACAGTTATCTTCTCTCCCCTGATGACGTCCGCACGATGTCCGACCCCCCATCCACCTGTCGCTCGGCGGGGAGCGATGGCGGCTCGGACTCCTGCTCGCGGGCGATTCGCTCGAATCGCGATGGTCCGGTTTTGATGGGAGCACGCGCTCCCAGGGACAACGGACTCCTCGTGCGGAGTACCCGCCACTGTTCCTCTTAGCGTTTCCCGCCTCTATTTGTTACTTTCCTCCTCCCCTCCGCATGCGTGGCTGATCCGCTGTCGTGGGCCTGGACGTTGACTGAGCGCGCGCGTTGCGGTGGATCATTTTTTTCCTCCTCCTCCCTCCTCCCCCTCCTTGTTTTCCTCCTCTTCCTCCCCGCCGCCCTTCGTTCTGACGTCCTCATTCGTGCCTCCCCCGCCTCTTTCCCGCGCTCCCTTCCCTTCCTCGCGTGATCCCTCCCATTCCAACCGCGCGCGTCAGGGCAGAAAGCCCCATGCCGTCGCCAGAGGCGCGCGCCGCCGCCGCGCGAGCGTCTTGGGGGCGCCGCCGCCGTCGGCTGTCCGTTGTCCGTCGTCGGTCGTTGGCGGCTCTGGTAGCTTCGTCGGTCGTCGCCCTCGTGCTCGCCCTCGTCGTCGTCGCCCCCGTCGTCGTCGTCGGCCCTCGTCGTCCTCGGCGCCGCTTTCGTCGGCTCAGCGGTTCTGTTGTCGCGGTCGCCGGCGTCGTGGTCGTCTCTAGCTTACGCCGCGGTCGCGGTCTCCTTCGCCGTCGGCCGGTTTTCGGCCCTGGCCCTCCCGTCGCCCCCCCCCCGCCGGGAAGGAACACCGCAGGCCTAGTGTTCCAGCGCACAGACGCAGCAATCGTGGAAGTTCATTGTTTCTTTCACCGGGCCTTGGGGCCGTCAACAAATAATGAGACGCTGGCCCTGAGATGTCGAAACTTCCAGGGGAGCCATATTTGGAAATGCAGGCTCACAAATCTCTTGGGGAGTGCCCAGCCCGTGTGGGGGCCCTCCTTCCTGCCTTGCTACCCCCTTGAAGCAAGAGGCTTAGTTACGCCATTCCTGCGGCCCCAGAAAGGTAGACGGGCCGAATCAGGTATGGGCTGCGTGTGTTGCCAGGGGACGGAAGAGCGCAGGAATTCGCGCTCCTTCCGTTCCTTCCTCTCCAGATCTTGTTGCTGATGTGCGTCCTCCTCCTCCTCGTTCCTTCTCCTCATTTCGTCCCAATTATCCTGTGTTGTTGGGTCCTCGTTTTGAAGAGACGGCCCCCGCGTTCCTTCTTCCCTCATCCCTCCTCCTCCCTCCTCCTCCCTCCTCCTCCCTCCTCCTCCCTCCTCCTCCCTCCTGCTTGCGTTTCACCCCCCATTTCGAAACACCCCTCACACGTTTCGTGGCCCCATAGGGAGCTCCACCGAAGGCTTCAGTGCCACCGCCCGCATGCGCTACCCACCCCCATTCCGGCACACCCCTCACACGTTTCGTGGCCCCATAGGGAGCTCCAACGCAGGCCCCAGTGCCACCGTCCGCATGCGTTACCCACCCCCATTCCGGCACACCCCGCACACGTTTCGTGGCCCCATAGGGAGCTCCACCGAAGGCCCCAGTGCCACCGCCCGCATGCGTCCCCCCACCCACTTCGGCACATCCCTCACACGTTTCGTGGCCCCATGGGGAGCTCCACCGAAGGCCCCAGTGCCACCGCCCGCATGCGTTACCCACCCCCATTCCGGCACACCCCGCACACGTTTCGTGGCCCCATAGGGAGCTCCACCGAAGGCCCCAGTGCCACCGCCCGCATGCGTCCCCCACACCCACTTCTGCACATCCCTCACACGTTTCGTGGCCCCATGGGGAGCTCCACCGAAGGCCCCAGTGCCACCGCCCGCATGCGTTACCCACCCCCATTTCGGCACACCTCTCACACGTTTCGTGGCCCCATAGGGAGCTCCACCGAAGGCCCCAGTGCCACCGCCCGCATGCGTCCCCCACACCCATTTTCGGCACACCCCTCCCAAGTTTCGTGGCCCCATCGGGAGCTAGGCCCAAGTTCCACCGCCCGCATGCGTTCCCCACCTCCATTTCGGCGCACCCATCATACGATTCGCGGCCCCATAGGGAGCTCCAACGCAGGCCCCAGTGCCACCGTCTGCATGCGTCCGCCGCACCCATTTCGGCACACCCCTCACAGGGTTCGCGGCCCCGTAGGGAGCGCCACTGAAGAAGATATTCAAAATTGCGGTGCTCAGAACTGCATATGGTTAGGTCCGTCGCCAGGCTAATTTTCACCTGCTCATCCACCTGCTCATCCGCCACCTACTCCTCCTCTTCCAATGTACGCAGCTCCCCCTTTGATTCCGCAAGCTACGATTGGATCGTTCTTTGGGGTTTCAGGTCCACTGTGACACGTGTCGGTGGATAGAGGGAAACAGCGCAATGGGAACGGATGGAGAGGAGGGGTATCATGTCAGATCTGGCGCGAGCGCACCTGGCCAAGTGGGGGGGATAGGGAAGTGGTGGATTGCAGAGCTGCTGCATGCAGCTGGTTTCGGCGAAGCCACCGCGCGCATTCCTCGATCAACGGCCGCGTCTGGCGCCGGGAGGCGCCAGGAATACCAGCTGCATGAGCTGTTTCGCTCACCCGCCCCCTTGCTATCCCCCTCTGTCCCAGCCGACCTCGCCCTCGCTCTCTGCCCCTCCCGGAGCCTGCGGTGGTCTCCTCACTTGGGCGTCACGTAATGGGGGGATCATAAATGGGGGGGTGGCGAGGGTGGTCCGAAAAGATACCCAAACAGTACCTAAACAAGCCCCCTGGGGCTCCGGAGGGGCCCGAAAGGGGCAGGAAAGGGGACCGTTTCTGATCCCCCCATCTATGACCCCCCATTAAGCCACGCCCAACGACTCACTCCCCCCCACCCCACTTCTCGCGCCCCCGCGGCCCCCTGCTCGCCCCCTCCCCGGCCCCCGTCTCGCCCACCCCTCCGCCCCCTCCTCGCCCCCCCCTGGCACCCCCCCTTCTCGCCTCTCCCCGGCTCCCTGGCCTGCGTGCCGCCCCGCCGCCGAGCTCCTGCCCCGGTGGCCCTCCCTCGGACTCGTCGGATATCGGGGGCGGAAAATAAGGGGGTGATGACTAGGGGGGGGGATATCATGGCGGGGGCCATGATACTTCCCCAGATTTCATGGCGCCTCTTCTTATTTCATGACGTCCCTGGCACCCCCGCTGGGCCGCGCACATGATGCTGGTCATGATTTGCACCCCCCCTCTTGGACACCCCCCTCTTGGCCGCTCCCGAGGATAGTGAGTACAGCACGTGCCCCAGAGCTGCGGTACAGTGGGGGCGCGCATCAAGAAACCATGTACTTTTCGTCAGTTTATACCCTGGGTTTCTTCACTCCGCGAGCTGCGCGGTGCATTCCCGCAGCCGTCGAAGAGGCTGCTCCGGGTTTCCCCTGGGGTGCACCTCGCGCGCGGGTTTCCGGGGTTGGGTTTCTTGCGAGGGTTTCTTGCGGCCGCGCCCGCACTGTAGTCAGGCCTCCGCCGATCTTCCATTTTTGGCAAAAGGTTTCGGAGGTTTTGGATGTGCTCCGTTTGTTTCCAAGGCTCCCGCTCATCCGCCGAGTCCCCCAGCGGCAGGTGTCTTGGAGTGCAGGAGCCTGTGCGCACGAACCTGGACACTGCGGACATCTTGCGACACTAAGTGGCCGTTTCTTGCTGTTCTGATCGAGTGGACTGCTGCTACAAGTGCTCGGTACGTGGTGCGGTTTTGCACCGTGGCGCTTCCGTGAAACGCGGTTTTGGCAGTCGAGTACCCAGGCCGTTTCACACACCATGGGAAGATCACTCTGAATTATCCGTAAGGGCTTCGCCCCCTGCCGCCGGCCCCCTCTCTCGGAGAATGGGCCATGGAAGAGCCAAGTCATGAGGCCTTGGCGCTGTCGTGAAGCAGTATCGAAACTTCATGCGAAGCCGAGTCGCAATCAGCAAAACCAACTGATCGCAAGAGGGGTTACCACACCTGGCGATTGGTAAGACGTGTATGGTTTAAGGGCTTGGTTACCACACCTTGCGATGAAAGGGCCGAGGGAGTTCTCGCAGTTTGGGTTACCACGCCTTGCGATGGATGTGCGTGATGGGTTCGAATTTCAGAAATGTGGCAAATCCCTGTGTTTTTGGACCCTGACCCCGCGGATCTGCGTGAGGGGTGGCACCGAATTTCAGAAATGTGGCAAATCCCCTGTGTTTTTGGACCCTGACCCCGCGGATCTGCGTGAGGGGTGGCACCGAATTTCAGAAATGTGGCAAATCCCATGTGTTTTTGGACCCTGACCCCGCGGATCTGCGTGAGGGGTGGCACCGAATTTCAGAAATGTGGCAAATCCCATGTGTTTTTGGACCCTGACCCCGCGGATCTGCGTGAGGGGTGGCACCGAATTTCAGAAATGTGGCAAATCCCTGTGTTTTTGGACCCTGACCCCGCGGATCTGCGTGAGGGGTGGCACCGAATTTCAGAAATGTGGCAAATCCCTGTGTTTTTGGACCCTGACCCCGCGGATCTGCGTGAGGGGTGGCACCGAATTTCAGAAATGTGGCAAATCCCTGTGTTTTTGGACCCTGACCCCGCGGATCTGCGTGAGGGGTGGCACCGAATTTCAGAAATGTGGCAAATCCCCTGTGTTTTTGGACCCTGACCCCGCGGATCTGCGTGAGGGGTGGCACCGAATTTCAGAAATGTGGCAAATCCCCTGTGTTTTTGGACCCTGACCCCGCGGATCTGCGTGAGGGGTGGCACCGAATTTCAGAAATGTGGCAAATCCCCTTTGTTTTTGGACCCTGACCCCGCGGATCTGCGTGAGGGGTGGCACCGAATTTCAGAAATGTGGCAAATCCCATGTGTTTTTGGACCCTGACCCCGCGGATCTGCGTGAGGGGTGTCGACTTCGAGCCCCCCCAGCAATTCAGACAACGCGCCCAGGGGACGCTGGAAAATCCTGTTTGGGCCTCCCCCCCCCTCGCGCGGTCAATCAACTAGTTACAGTAACCAGCAAGAAGCAGAACTGTAACACTGGAAACTACAAGCTACAACTGGTACTGGAAACTGCGAACCCGTGCCTACAGCCTGGTGGCCCCACAAGGGGGCCGGCGGATTTTTGTACTGGCAGACACACGAGGGAGCATCACCTTCGAGTGGATTGTCATTCGTTCGACGTCCCCCGTCCTTCCTCTGGGCTTCCGCCCCCGGGGATGAAGAGGAGGATCCTGTCGCTCAGCTCCAGCGAGTGGTGCGTGTGTGTGCCCTGCGCCTTGAGCCGGCAGCCACTGGAGCAGCGCCCTCCTGTCTTGGTTAAGAGGCCAAGGATGTTGGCGGCGCGGAGTCGGGTTCCGACTAAGCCTGGCGCCTTTGAGCGTCATTTCTCTCTGCGCCTGCCAGTGCTGCCCGGTCGTGTGCTTCGCAGCTGTACCTGAGGGGAAAGCAGGGGCGTCCGGGGCGTCCGGGGCCGAGGGTCGATCCGCGATGACGATCGGCCTAATCTCGCGCGGGCCGCCGATTCCTCAGCGGCGCTCGCCGAGGCCCCGACGCCCCATGGCTGCACTTGGCGTCCTTCTCGCCGAGTTCCCCGAGCAGTGTGCTTCCTCTCGCGCCCCACGGCTTGTCTGGAGTGGGTGTTCGGTGCGGTGCCTGTGCCGCGGTCGCCCTCGTCTCAAGGCACTTGCGGTCAGGGCCGCTCCTGGCCCTTTCGCTGATTTCTTTGCACTGCGTAGTTTTTGGAAGTGAGAGTCACCCCCCCCGGAGGGCTCGCCCACCTCCGGGGTTGCCTGTGGGCTGCATTCGCTTGGATGTCAAAAAACAAAAAACACTCCCCCAGCGCCCTGATGGCCCGACCCTTACGCCTCCTCCTCCTCCTCCTCGCCGTCGCCTCCTGATTGCCCCCCTTCCCCTTCGTGTCACCCCCGCAGCTGGGCAGCATCCTTGTTCTGCGACGGCTTTGCGGGTGGCTAAGCGGAGCGAATACGTTCAGTGTATGCTTATTCTGCCGTTCTGGGCTTGCAGGGGATCCGCATTTGGTGTTGGAGAGACAGCCTGCTGGATCACAACCCAAGCACGCTGACCATACAGGCGGTGACCTGCAACTTAATAACGACTGGTTCCACAACTTACCCAATCAACGAATAAGGGAAAAGGACAAACACGCGTGCACGCCAAACGAGTCGAACCATGACGCCGTGCACGGTTCGGCACGGGCCCATTGTGGCACTGAAGGGGGACTATATGCAGACGGGCCGCGTCAAACAAAAACCGCTGCCACTGCCCGCCCTTCTCGCACGTGCTGATCTAAGCATTGTAGCTGAAAGCGGTTGGCTCATACGTCGCCATTCCGCCTCGCTCAGCACCGACACCACCCGCTGCCTCTGTCTGCCCTGAGGTGAAGGCCTCTGTAAAGTTTCATGCTGAAGCATATTTGGTTGTGATTTGGCACATGCCTATCGTTCGGCGGCGGGTCGCCTGGCTATCAGTGGGGGCTTCAGTTTTCACAGTGGTGGCATGGATTGTTCGTGAAGTTGTTTCTCCTGTTCGGGCGTTTCGTCTACCGTCCTGTGCATCTTTCAGGTCAGAGGGGGCGTCGCATGCTCGATATGGTATCGCACCTGCGATGGCGGTAACCCTTGTAATCCTCCTCGCACCCCGCCCCTCGCCTGAGGCGAATGGCGGCGTTCCGCTACGGGCAAGGATCAGCTCCGCCTGATCTCCCAGGAAGGTGGCCGCACTACCGCCCTAAGCGGAAGCACCACTGGCTTGGGCCGCCGCAGACCCTGGATGAAGTCGCGGCCACTGGGCTGCTTAGGGCGAGGATGCTTGGCGGCGCGCAGAAGGGTGGTAGGGGGAGGGGGGAAGGCTTCTTGGAAGCACCCGTGCTTCTTAGAAGGCGCGGGCCTTGTCTAGAGATGTAAGGCCTGTGGCTTCTAAGAAGCAGCCTCCTTCTAAGAAGCCTTCCCCCCTCCCCCTCCCCCCCTCTGCGCGCCACCAAGATGCTGCCGGACGCAGCCGCGGGAGGGCGTCGCGCGGGGCTGGCTCAGCCGCGGCGCTGCGTCCCCAGGGCCCGCGGGGCGAGAGCGGAGCGGCGGTGCTGGCATCAATCGGGGTTAGCGAGCACGACCTGCCCTGGGTGCGCGAAACGGGCCGCCGGGCAGCCGCGGGCGGCGACTCGGCCGGGGAGTCGAAAACAGGCTGCAGTGACAGCGACGGCGGCGGCTAAGGGGGATCGGTCGCAGGGATTTTCGTAGCCCCTCGGGGCCACACGCCGTGGCATACCTCGCCCTCGACCTCCCCTTCCTCCTCGCCCTCGCCGCCGCCGCGCCCCCCTGCTTGGAACCCGCGGGGTGGCCCCCGAGCGGGCGGCCTGCCTCTTGCGCGGCGGAGGTCGGCGGCGCCGTCGACGGCAAGCAGTTTTTCCGCCAGGTTGGGGGGGGGGGCGGGAATGGAGGGGGAGGGAGGATGGGGGCGGACATGTTTCGGGAGAGGGAGGGGGAGGTGGGAAGGGGGAGGGAGGGGGGGGGGAGGGCGCCGTCGCCGGCAAGCGTGTCTTCCGCCAGGGGGGGGCGGAGGGGAGGTGGGGGCGGACATGTCTTGGCAGTGGGAGGGGGAGTAGGTGAACGGGGGATCGTGGACTCACTCGGTGTTCCAGGGCGCGCGCGCGCGGGGCTTTTGCATTGAGTTCGCGCGCCCCCACCTCCCCCCCCCCGGGCCTCCGCGGTTGGAGGTGTGGGCGGACAGGCCTGGGGAGGGGGAGGGGCAGAGGGGCCGCAGCAATCACAGGACAACCAACTGCACAGGCATAGGCTTTCAGTGCTGTGCGGGCCTCTTGGGTCACGCTCCCCCCGCCAGGAGAAGGAGGATCAGCGCCGACCCAAGAAATTCGCGCGGACCTCCGAAAGTTTATGTTCGTGCAATCTGTGCTGTTGTGTGGGCAAAGGTCGGCGGTCAGCCGAGAAGAGAGGTCGTCAGGGGCAGGGAAGGGGGATTACCCATGAATGCGGGAGGGACAGGGGGGGAGGGAATGCCCCCACTCTCGCTGCGTCATCCCACCTCTGGCGCCTTGTGGCGCTCCGAATTGGGAGGGGGAGCGAGAAAGGACGATGGTAAATGAAGCAGGAACATGAGGAGGTGTCTCGGGTGTTTGGCTGTCGTGACGAAAAGGACAGGGAGGAGGAGGTGGATGAGGAGGAAGAGGAGGAGGTTGAGGAGAGTCGAGACATGAGGATGAGGGGAGGGTTTGCCGCAGCCCTCCTCCACTGCGCGCACACGCACGCACACACACACAACACAACACACAACACACAGCACACAACACACAACACACAACACACAGCACACAACACACAATACACAATACACAACACACAACACACAACACACAACACACAGCACACAACACACAATACACAACACACAACACACAACACAGAACACACAACACACAACACACAACACACAACACACAGCACACAACACACAATACACAATACACAACACACAACACACAGCACTCAGCACACAACACACAACACACAACACACAACACACATCACAAACACACCACACAACACACAACACACAACACACAACACACACTACACAACACACAACACACAACACACAACACACAGCACACAGCACACATCACACAGCACACAGCACACAACACACAACACACAACACACACACATGTTGTTCCCCACCTGTGGTGTCGGGCCTTCGTTTTGAAGAGGCAGCGCCCCGCGTTCCTCCTGCTCCTCCTCCTCCTCCTCCTCCTGCTCCTCCTCTTCCTCCTCCTCCTCCTCCTCCTCCTCCTCCTCCTCCTCCTATCCTTATTCCTTATTAGAATATACTCCTACTCCCCCCTCAGGCCGGCAGATAGGGGCCGCATCCGGGTGGTCCCATCCTAACCTGTAAAAAACAATACAAAATCAACATTTTTCTTATTTTTTCCTCTCGACATGGACGTCCTGTCGTCCACGGCGATAATCCATTGCAAAAAACACCACAAAGAGCACACGCGCGCGTTCATGTCAGAATCCTACCGAACACCGTGTGTTTGCAAGCATTTCAACATAAAAACATCAAACACCCAATGCTTTTTCACACAAATTGTACAAATTTCCCGCCCGGGCTCTCTTGCTGAAATCATAGGAAAACCATAGGAATCTTAAGAATTCGGTCAAATCCAGCGATTTCACGTCATCGCGCGGTGCACTCGCGATGCTCTGTCATGCACCCAGGCCGCGAATCCTGTGCAAAAAATACCACAAAGAGCACACTCGCGCGTTCATGTCAGAATCCTACCGAACACCGTGTGTTTGCAAGCATTTCAACATAAAAACATCAAAAACCCAATGCTTTTTCACAAAAATGCTTTGGGGTGTCCTGTCAGACCGTCGGGCTTCCTCCGGCCACCTCTGGCTTCCTGCGGTGTACCGGGCCATTCTCGACTCGTCTGGCAATGCGTGCGCGGCATTCAACACGCGCTCGCCAGTTCCCGTCGGCAACCGCCATCGCGGCCGCATCAGCTGTACCAAACCGGCTGGCCGGTGTGACTTCGGCCCCCAGTTGTGCCAGCTTTGCTTCTTATGTTGTGGGAGGGCGGGTGGGACTGGGCATGCCATGCTTGACTCGCTCGAGCTGGCTAGCTTGACTCCTACTCCTCCTCCTCCTCCTCCCTCCTCCGCAGTTCGCATGCGGCTCCCCAACCTCGTGCAGCGTTTCGTGGCCCCAGAGGGAGCTCCACCGAAGGTCCCAGTTGCACAGTCCGCACGCGGTTCCTGCGCCCAGTGCAGCGCTTCGTGGCCCCAGAGGGAGCTCCACCGAAGGTCCCATTAGCGCAGTCCGCATGTTGTTCCTGCGCCTAGTGCAGAGTTTCGTGGCCCCGGAGGGAGGCTCCACCGCAGGTCCCAGTGGCGCAGTCCGCATGCAGTTCCTGTGCCCAGCATAGCGTTTCGTGGCCCCAAAGGGAGCTCCCCCGAAGGTCCCAGTGGCGCAGTCCGCATGCGGTTCCTGCGCCCAGTGCAGCGTTTCGTGGCCCCAGAGGGATATCCACCAAAGGTCCCAGTGGCGCAGTCCGAATGCGGTTCCTGCGCCCAGTACAGCGTTTCGAGGGAGCTCCCCCGAAGGTCCCAGTGGCGCAGTCCGCATGCGGTTCCTGCGCCCAGTGCAGCGTTTCGTGGCCCCAGAGGGATATCCACCAAAGGTCCCAGTGGCGCAGTCCGCATGCGGTTCCTGCGCCCAGCACAGAGCTTCGTGGCCCCACAGGGAGCTCCACGGAAGACGATACCCATAACATCGGCACTCACAACTGCATATGGTTGGGTTCTTCGCCAGGCTAATTTCCCCGAGTGTGCCACCCTCCATGTGGGGAAGTCGTTTCCGAGCCCCGTCCGGAGAAAACAGTCGTTGGGAGCCAAAGGCCCGGCTAACATTTGCCGACAGCACCATCCGGCCAAGCAGGCGCCAGAGCACCCCTCGGCGCGCACGGGCCCGCAGCAAGGCTAATGAAGTCAAGCTCCATTGCGCACCACACAGAAGCCCCCAGGACTCCCATGCAACTATTGAGAACATCGTGGATTCCCTGAAGAGGCCCCTTGAACAGCTCATCCCATCCTACATGTTGTACGTGAGATGTATATGTGCATGTGTCAACACTTGCTCTCTCGACCTCTCCCTCTCTCACTCTCTCTATTCCTCCGTCTCTCTTATCCTCCCTCTCACTCTCTCTCTGTGTTCCTTACGCAGGGATGATGCTCCCATGTCCTCAGACCCTCTCCCTGCCGTTCCCTCATCCCTCTCCTGCGCCTCCATGCGCTCCAATTTCTGACGCTCCCCTCCCCTGTTGGATCGAGGGGCCGTACGGTGGACCCCTCCCATATTGTGGAGGATTCGAGTAGGGAACGACTGCATAATAGATTTACCCCCAAATTGATGTCCTCGTCGAATCAACCAATAAGGCGTAGCACATGTTTCAGGGATTCGACGAACAAAAACAGTTCTGGGTGTAAACAAATTCTGTAGTTGTTCCGTACTCGAAGGTATGCCCGCGGCGGGTGCGCGTAGGGAGCGCGCAGCTGGGCCTGCCCAGACAGCAGGGCTGACCCACTCTGAGCTGAGCCTGCACCGACGCTCTCCTGCCGCCGGGTTGGCGCGAGGGGGGGGGGAAGGTCGCCGCGAAGGAGGCGGTTCCTGAGGGAAAGAGGTCCCTGAGGTCTTCGGCGGATTTCGGGCTCGCTGGGCTCTCCGCAGGCCCTGGGGGAAGCCCCCAGGATCCAGAACACGTTTCCCCAGGGGCCCGTGTATCAGGCGACCGCAAACATGGATCAGGGGGACGTGGATGAGCGACGGGTCCCATTTCCATGGGAAATCGTGGATTTCCGCCGCCGAGCGAGGCGGCACCGGCCGCATTTTGGGGAGGGCACCTCCCCCGATCCATGGATTTGGTGACCGCGCGCCAAGTCCATGGATCGCTAATCCATGTTTGCACGCCCCCGATATGAGACACTGGCCTTGGGGAGAGCCCCCAGGCTCCAGAGCACGTTTCCCCCAGGGCCCGTGTCCAGCATGCCGAAGGGAAGGGCAGCCCCCGCCCCCTCCTGCCCTCTCCGCCCTCGGTCTTGCTCCCTCGCCGCCCCCCCTGCAACGCCCACTGCGGTTGGCGCTTCTCAGGGCGTTTGGGCCTCAAGGTCCATCGCTCCTGTGTAGTCGTACACTGGAGGCCAGTCCGCAAGAAACCTTCCACAAGCAACCCAACCCTGAGACCCCAGCACGTCCATTGACTTTTGATGTGGGAATTTCACGCTTTCCATCGCAGAACCATCGAAACCCAAGAATCCAGGGCACCCTGGACGCGAGCAGGGTGTTTCTTGGCATGGCCCCCCACTGTTTTTTCCTCTCGCTTCGCGGGGTGCACGTCCGGAGTACGTGCAGTCCAGTCTCAGCTGGGCTTGGTGAGAGTCTTTTTGGGGCCTCTTGGATTCCACTTGGGGGCTTCTTGGGGCCTGTTGGGGGCTTCTTTGGGGCCTCATGGGGCCTGTAGGGGGCGTCTTTGGCCGTCTTGTCTCCTTCGTTGGAGCGGCGGCCTACGCCCTGCTTGCCCGAACAGTTTTTCCATCCGACGCGCGGCGCAGGTCAACTCAGTTGTTTTGGCCACACCGAAGATCAAGGCACGTACCACATTTCTATGAAGAAGTGTGTTGGGTGATTCAGCGCGCACAGCGACGGGTCGTTCAAGGGGAAGGTGGGGTCAGGATGCGGCATGGGAGGAGCCGTGTACATGCGTTTCGGCAAGTTTCGCCGCGCCGGCAAACGGGCGTGCCACCTGTTGGACGTTGAGCCGATCGCGCAAGCCTATGTGCAGATCCTCGTTCGGCTCTGAGCTGCTCGCAGCATGCGGCGCAGCTGACGGCCTGCGGGCTCCCCCCCCCCCGCGTCGCGTGAGATGGTGCGTGACCCCGCCTCTGCCGAGGAGATTCGGAGGCTGAGGGAGGAAGGGGGATATGCTATCCCTGCAGACCGCGCCATAGACGGCATGTCCGTCTTCAGCGCCCTGCTCATGGACCGGGTCCAGCCGCCGTCCGAGAACAGAATGGCTAGCCACCTGCGATGGTTAGCTCACCAGCTGCGCACCAAACGAGTTTACGACTATCACTGGTGCGACACGCGGGACATGCGGGCCGACCCCATGACCAAGGGCAGCATGGGCCGAGAGTTACTCCTCAGCCTGATGGACGGCCAGATCAGCTATGACCACACCTCGGTCAACTTAAGCGACGAAGAAGGCTGCCCCGAACTCACAGCAGAGCGCACTCACGCAGACATGAGGATATTAATCTTGTGGCTTTGCCGCGAAATCTCGCGGAGGCGGAACGCATATGTACGACACTAACAGGCGAGATCGGTGAGTAGAGCACTCGTGAGCGGGCTCACCCGGACGGTGTCCGGGTAGCTCGCGGATTTTTAGCAGGCGTTCCTTCAACAATCTCGTTTGGCTTCAGATCGGGGGTTTATTCGCTTGTTTCTACTAGTCTCACGGGCTCTGACGGGTGTGTTTGCATATCTTTCATTGTTGGAAATATGGTTCTCGAGTGAACGGAGTTTGGGCTTGCCGGTTTTTGTGGACACGCGCGTCTTGGAGTTTGACGGTCCGGTTGTTGTGGGATGTCTGCAGCGGTAGCCAACATCAAATTTAAGACTGGGTCGCGTCATTTGTACGATGGCCCTTTAGGGCCAACCCGAATCCCCCAAACCCGAATCTAACGTCTCCCCGACAGGGGCGCCGTCAAATGTTTTTGCGTTGGCGCCATGGGGGGCCAATGTGCCCCTTGGGATGAAGTGAAAACCGTCAACCCAGGGTCATGCCAAAACCAGGCGGGCCGGTTCCCTTGCAGCAGGTCCGTTTCTTTGTTCATCTTGAAACATACGGTTTGTAGAGTCTTTTTGTTGTGATGAACCTTTTAAAGGCACCGCGGTCTGAGTTTGGGCACCAGACTCGAACGGTAGTTCATTTTCAAATTTCCTGTTTCTCACCTTTATTTGCCCGGTGCGCTGTGTTGGCTCAAGGCATGATCAATGCGCCGTGCCCGCCCTGAACGCGCCTTAGTCTTTTTGTGCCTACCGTACATTCCGCCTTCAACAAGACCTGATCTCTCACATCTCCGCACCTACACCCTCATTTCTCGTACCACCGCTTTCGCGCCGCCGCCGCCGCCCTCGCGCCGCCGCCCTGTGGCCTCTGCCTGCCGCCCCGCGCGGGGCGAAAGGCGAGAAGAGTCCTGTCCAACGAGGCCTTCGACAGCTTCCTGGTCCCTCCAGCCCCGACACCCCGAGGGGCAGGGGGCATGCGCCCTCCGTTTCCCTCCTTCCTCTTCCTCCCTCTCCCTCTGCCCTCCGACTGTCAGCTCTTGCCCGTTGGTGGCCGAATCGCGCCCAGAGGGCGGCGTGAACTTCATGCTCGTCGCCATCGCGCTTGCTCTTCTCCCGCCCTGGTCAGGGTCTGCGCCCCGCAGACCGGGTGAAAACAATGCGCACGGCGTTCGCAAGCGCCGCCCAGCCGACCTTTTGGGTTGTCAGGGCAAGTCGTGAGGATGCGTCGAAGAAGAACAGTCATTGCGTTTCGCGGTAACAAATTCTTTGACCAGGATTTGCCAGAGGGGTGAGCCGGGAGCCTGGGCCTTTGTTGGCTGGAGGGTTTGTTTCGGCAGTTTTTCGATGAGTGGTTCTGTCCAGAAACTAAAGCACATGAGCATGCATGTTCGGGTCCTCGCGGTGTTTTTGGATTTGAGGTGTGCCCTCCATGGCGGCGTTTCCAGATTCGTTTTTGGCCCGCCATGCGCGCCAGAGAGGGGGGTCCATCGCCGACCCAAGAAATCTGCGCGGACTCAGAAACGTTAGTGTTTGCACCGTCGTGTCTTCTTCCTGCCAGGGTGGCGGAGGTCGGAGGCGGCGCGGATCGAGGATCGAGATTCGGGAATAAAGAGGTGGGCCAGGGTGTGTCTTCGCCCTTCCTGGGCCTTCGGGGGCCCTCGTCGCCACGGCTGGACCCGCCCCGGCGTCCCGGCCAGAACGCGACCCCAGGATGAAGGTTCAGCGGGCCAATTTTTGCGGAGGAGGACGTCTAGCCGCAACGATAGATCTCCTGGCTTCGTTTTTGTTCTTCCAGCCCTCACCCTCGCTTCGCTACCAAGCCAAACCCAGCGAACAAGCAGTCAAGTCGATGAAATACGGAGCCGTATTTTTGATGCTGAAGAGGCTCGACCAGGCGCAAGTGGGGCCATAAAGGGACTGCGGTCCGTTTTCAGCGTTTTTTGTTTAACTGGTATTCGCTTGACTGCGTTCCAAGCGCACGCAACAGCTAATTAGTGATCTCTCACCATCTGTCGACCAGTTCGAGATGATCTGGTAGCAAGGACCCCCCAAGGTGAGTGTCGACGCATCTCGAGAGGGGGAGGACAAACATTGCAGATGAGGAGTAGTGATGTTGAGGGTAAGATTGGGAAGGAGGAGGAGGAGGAGGAGGAGGAGGGGGAGGAGCAAGACAAGACGGATCATGCGGAGGACACACATTACATCAGCAGAATGGAGGAGGAGGAGCAACGGATTCAGGGAGTCGGCAGATGCGGGGGGAGGACGAGCTCGGGGGTACGCAGTACGTGGGGCGGCCACCCTCGACAGGAGAGCGCCCGAGAAGCCCCTCGGGGTGCACCCCCGAGTCTGCCCTGCTCTCCGAGCGGCCAGTGTCTTGTCGGGGAGGGACCTCCGAAGAGGGCAGCGCACGGCCGAGAAGGCCCAGGGCGCACGGCCGAGAAGGCCCACGGCGCACACGGGAGGGCGGCCGGCGCCCCTCCAGACCAGCATCAAGCGCCTGAACAGCCAGTGCGCCCCCACCGCCGCCCTCGCCTCCTTCGCCGCCGCCGTTGTCATTCTCGTCGCCGCCCCCGTCGCCGAAGCCGTCGCCGTCGCTCTGGTGGTGGTCGCTGACCCGGTCGCCGTCGTCGCTGTGCTGCTGGGTGTTGTCGGCGTCGGCGTCATTGTCGCCGAGGGTGTCGTCGTTCTCGTCGACGCCACCGTTGGCGTCGACTTTGTCCGTGTCGTCGTCGCCGTCGCCGTCGGCGTCGCTATCGACGCCGTCGCCGCCGTCGACATCGTTTTCGTCGTCGTCCTCGGCGTCGTCGTCGTCGTCGTCCTCGGCGTCGTCGTCGTCGTCGGCGTCGGCGTCGGCGTCGGCGTCCTCATCCGTCGTTCCAGCGAACAGGCCCAGTTTGCAAGAGGTCACTGCTTAGGGTCCTCGCTGGCATGCATACATTCATTACTCGGGTGTGAGCAGTGATACACCCCTCCCGCAAGGAGAAGGAGGTTTTGATAGTCGGCGGCGGGCGCAGGGGGAAGTGAGGAGCAGAAGACCTTCTCAGAATGCACCGGGGCTTCTCAGAAGCCCTCGCGCATTTTGAGAAGTTTGTTCTGTCTCCGGGGGAGGCTTAGGGAACTTCTCGGGAGGCTCGAGCCTTCCGAGCCTTCTGGCCCTCCCCTTCTCACTTTCGCCGCCGAGATAAGGAACCTTCCAAACCACCTACGCCCTGAGGTCTGGTGGGGCTAATCTTCATGCGCCTCCGCCCTGTCCGACCGCCCCCACTCGTCCTCCTTTGCCCCTTTTTCCGATCCTCCTCCTTCTCTTCTTCCCCTCCTCGACTGAGACAAGGAAGGGGCGGGGGGTGGGCGTGGGGCGGGGGGAGGGCAGTGAGGCCAGCGGTTTGTGCCATCGGGCCCGCGTGTGGGCCATCCGCGAGCCGTGGCGCCTGCAGTCATCAGTGGTGTTCTTATCTTATATGTCTTGTCTTGTCTTATCCAATACTGTCTTGTCTTATATACTTCCGCTCCCCCCTCTTTCCACCACTTCCTCTTTCGAATCCTGCCATCTACAAAAAGGTACAAGAGCGTTCTCCGACAGAGTCGGCGTCGATCACGGCGACTGTGACGACGCCGCCCGCGGCCGGAGAGCAGGCTGCAGACGCGCGAGGAGACGCTCGCGGAGGCGTCACGCCTGTTCGGCGCGCAGCACCAAGACCTCGCTCAGGACGCGCCGCACGAGCGTCACGACCGCGGCGGGCGAGGACAGGTACAGTCAAAACCGATGACAAGAACGGGTAACCTTCCCGAGAGTACCCGTGCATCCTTGCCTCTTTGGTCTGTCTTTCATCACTTTCGATGGACGGCCCTACGTGAGAAGCTTCGACATGGGCGGCCAAGGGTCGTCCATGCTCATCCCGCATCCTTCCTATCAGCGGCGAGCGAGGAGGGGGAAGAGAAGAAGAAGGCCTTCTCAGAAGGCTGCGGGACTTCTCGGAAGGCCCCCGGCCTTCTGAGAAGTCTTCTGTGCCTTCCCCGAAGACACAGAGGGTCCGTCTTCTGAGAAGGTCCGCCTTCTGCCTCCGAAGACTCATGAGCCTTCTGAGAAGGTCTGCCACTTCTCACTTCCCCCCCCCGCTCGCCGCCGATACTATTTACTTTTGGCCGTGTGTGTATCTGTATATATATATATATGTATATATATATATATATGTGTGTGTGTATAAGTTTGTGTGTAGACCAGAGCTCCGGCTGTGGGCCCATGCGCCCTTCGGGACCTGGCCAGGACGCGGATACTTTTGGGCCGCGTCCGCCCCATCCCGAGACGGGCCGCCCGAGGACCCCGCGAGGCGCCTTTGGGGGATGTGAGGCGTTCCAAACGGAGCCTCGCCGTAGAGGATCGAAGGAGTTGCCATCTCTTCCGGCGGCGGGAGGTGGCGGAAGTAAGACATGCGTCCCCAAGGGATGACACCTCGTATGTATACTTGCCTCGGAGGTGGACAGGCCTCCTACCCTGACACGTCGATTAAGGAATTGACCGTTTTCGGCTCGCGAGAGGGCGCCGCGGTTGTCATTTTTGCGGGTGCAGGCCCGTCGGTTTCGGTCCCAGGCCGTTTTCGCTAAGGGGAGGTCTACGAGAGGGAGGTTTGTCCACCGCCGACTGCCCCTTTCCTGAGGAGGGCAGGCTACACCAGAGGAGCAAGATGTCATGATAATGGTTTGTTCCACGATGTCCAGGTCGTCGGGGACCTCCTCATCTCCCACAGGGGGCTGCAGGAACGCGAGTGGTAACATTTGTTTAAACCTGCATCTAGTGACAGCAGTCTCGTCCGACCACATCGTGGGCACATCTCCAAGCCAGTGGACAAGGACCAAGCCCCAGTGCGGAGCAGGAGCCCATTGCCCTCCCTGGTGCGCGCAGGTTCTTTGGACCACACGCGGTGTGTCAGGGGCTCACAATGAAGTCGGGCGTGTCCGCCTACAGGAGGAATATTCGAAAATACTAAAACATAGTCTTGGGACGATTGATTGACTTTGCGTTTGGTCTTAGGTCGGGCGGGGGACACGCCCGACCTAAGGCCACACGCGGTGTGCCAGGGGCTTAAACTTCTCCTGACGCGTCAGGGCCATCCACGGGGCGATGTGCATCCTGCATCGAAATCTTTCCAGATCAGTCCCAGTCCTTGCTTCGGAGTATGGCCGGTGCGACTCCTCCAGCCCTTGCCTCGATCTCTCCTGGCAGGTCGAGGCGCATGTGTGGCCAACAAGGGTCTCCTCCCTCGTGGACAAAGTCTTGACGCCTCGCGTGTCGCCACCAGCCCATCCAGAAACGATGCCCAGGCGAGTTGCCTCTCAGAGTCTCCTCGAATGTCTCTTGGAAGCTTTTTGGAGGCCTCTGGGAGCGTCTTGGGGACATCTTGGCGGTTTGGGGGGGCGGTCCTGGGGGCCTCTTGGAGCATCCTGGTTGCCTCTCTGGGCGCTTCTTGGGGCGCTCTTGGGGCGCTCTTGGGGCCATCTTGGAGGAGATCGATCAAAGACGGGCGGTTCCTCAGTTGGGCCCCCCCTCGGGAGCCCAACACATCGCCTCTTGGACCCTTCTTGGAGCGCTCTTGGGGCGCTCTTGGGCGCTCTTGAGGCCGTCTTGGGGCTCTTTTGGGCCTCTGTTGGGGCCCTCTGGGGCCATCATTGAGCCATCCTGAGGCCTCGGAAGAGTATCGGAAGCAAACGGGCGAGAACAACAATAATTAGTGATTGGTTGTGCGGGCACTTTAATGACAATGTGAACTGTTCGGCGCACACCCATTTCTGTATAGCCGTCCTTTTTCTCGAGCGTTCGACTGGGTCTGCATGCTTCCCGCCCTCCTTGGGAACGTCGGGTTCCAAGAGTTTGTTCGGGCTCTCGGTCACAGCTCACTGGCCGCCATATCGGGACATGCGGCGTGCCCTTGCCCACCTCCGCGCCCACCATGTGAGCTGCATTGTGGCGAATCGACGGTGTGTCCTGCTTGCGGCGTGAGCTGCCCTAATCTGGAGTGCCCAGCTGTGTCTGTACCAGCCTGGCCAGCCGCTACACCTTAAGAGGGGCAAGTGGCCCGAGGAATTCGCAAGTGGTTGGATCGGCTATCGCTCTGATTGGTCAGTGGGCTACTGGTCCTGGACAGCAAGATGTTGGACGCTGGCGCATCGAGGGTAGGGTCAGAGGCGTTGTAGAAATCGCTGGTGTCGGGGACGCGTCTCCTATTCAAGTACGACGAGAACCCAGCCCACGAACGGGTTTTTTTCCGGCCTCTCTCCAATAAGCTGTCGGTCGTCCTGGCCCCAGACGGTGACATCTATGACTGCGCGGTGGAGGATGAGGACGCCGAGGAGGTATATGTTGTGCGAAAAAGGAGGTCGGTTTCCCGCCCATCTTGCTCACCCTGCCTACCGTTCTCGAGGCAACCTGGACGTGGAGACTGTTCGGACGGCCATCTGGGAAGGGCGTGCTGAGGTTGATCAACTTCACGCGGAAGGAGCTGGCGCCCTGGGCGAGCCCGCTGATGTACGAGGCTGGGGTGATTGGGGTGGTGCCGAGTTTCTTCTTGGTGATCTACTGGATGCGCCTATGGCTGGGGCAGTCGCTGGAGCACCTCGAGTGCACGCTGAGCCTGGTATGGTCTGGGCGGTCGCCGCGGAGACGCCGCGCCATTCAAGAGTGGGCAAGTTTTTCGGCCACGCCGCGAGGTGCTGGCACTGAATATCCCACTCCCAAGCCCGCTGAGGACGGAGCAGAGGACGACGCTCGTACCTTGTCTGTTCTGTAGGATGAGCAATGCGAGCGTTGGCGACCGTGGCGACGTGTGGCAGCTTCCTTTTCTCAGAAAGTTTCTCTGAAGACTGGCGTTTCGGAGGCCCGCGCACTACCCAATGGTTGTTGGTGCATGTGGAGCGGGCTGGTGGGTCGCCGATGCAATGGTCTCATAGTTTCTTGGTCGAGTCAAGGATTGCTCCTGCGGGTCGGACGGCCTACGAGTTGCAAGTGTTTTGTAGGGCCTTCGGGTATGCTGGATCGTATGGCCAATTTAAGATTCCTTCGTTGCCCTGTTTCGAAGCTTTGTCCAGGTGGTGGCAGCTGCTTCTCGACGCCAGCTCGGGGGGGCCCTGGCGATCCGAAGTTCGACTGCGTTGGGTTTAGGGTGGGTGTCCAGCAGCGCACCCCGGGCATTGCGCCGCCATTGTCAGCCCACATCGCGAGGGGAGCGAACGACCTCGCCGAGATCGAGACGGCCGGGCAGAAAGCGAAGGAGGCGCGGGGACCGAAGAAGGGTCCTCTGCCTCCGAGGAAGACGCGAGAAGCAGTCCTCTCTTCGGCCATGTCCTCGGGGACGGACGGAGGCGAGGAGAGACCGAGGCGAGCAGGCTGACGCCTGAGGCGGGTCGCCGCCAGAAATGTAGACATGCTGCAGGGGTTGGTGGAGCTCTTTCCACTTCCCCTGGTGGCCGTTCCTGAAGCCGCCTGGAAGCGCCATTCACGAAGGACTCGACGGCGTGCTGGGCGAGAACGTCACGCTGATTGGCGGGTGAACCACGCCGTGGAGTCGCTGAATTGGCGTGTCGGGTGCGATGGCGTTGTCCCCGAGGTGTTCACCGAGGGTCATTCTCGGGCCCTGGATATGCTGATGGTGGCCGCGAGGGACAGCGCGCCCACTGAGCCCGCGCCGCAACCGCGCGACCCCTTCCCCCCCACAAGTTTCTGCGTGCCCGAGCAGGTCACTGCTCGGAAGAGTCACCTGTGGTTCCGTTTATGCCAAATATGTCCCCCATATCGCAAGATGGGGGCCGCTGACTCCAACCTAGTCATAGTCATACCTTTTCATGGCCTGACTTACTCAACACTCGACATGCAGGCCTACTCATACTCAGACTTACTCATGCTGTGACTCCTTCATACCCAGACTTACGCATGCCCAGACTCGTCCCCATACCTGCTCAGACACAGACTTACTCATACCCAGGCCTATACATGCTCAGACCTTCTCCTCGTCTGAGTTACTCAACGCACGGACTGAGACCTACTCATAGACATACCTAGTTATATTCGGACTCGCAAGCGGAGCTGCCAGGGGTGTTTCCAGGGGCCCGTTCGCGGCCGGTTTGTGGGGATTTCCATGGCGGGCTGCTCGTTTTCATGCCCGACATCCTGTTGCTTTCTCAGAACAGATTGCAAGGGTGTCTCAGGCGGGGCGCCGTTTTTGCTTTCCTTCTGCACGCGCCCTTTCGCGGCCAGTTTGCGGGGGTGCCTCGAGCGGTTTGCTCGTTTTCATGCCCGGCATCTTTTGCTTTCAGAGCAGATTCTGAGGATGTCTCAGGCGGGGGGGGCGCTGGTTCAGCGCCCCTAGGGGGGGCCTTCAGGGGCGTTTTCACGGGCCCGGTCGCGGCCAGTTTGCGGGGGTGTTTCAGGCGGCTTGCGTATTTCCATGCCCAACATCCTTTGTTTTCAGATCGGATGCCCAGGATGTCTCAGGCGGGGCGCTGATTTCAGCGCCCCTAATGGGAGCCGCCAGGGGTGTTTGCACGAGCCCGTTCGCTGCCAGTTTGTGGGGATGTTTCAGGCGGTTTGCGTGTTTTCGTGCCCGGCATCGTTTGCTCTCAGAGCAGATTGCGGGGGTTCCCCGGACGGGGCGCTGGTTTCAGCGCCCCTCAAGGGCAGCCGCCAGTGGTGTTTTCACGGGCCTCTTCGCGGCCGGA